CCCTCCCGTCCCCCTCTAGGAAGGCCGGCCCGCCCTGCGTGTGCTCCGGGGTTTGTTCTGGGCTTCCCTCCCGCCGAGCTCAGCTGGCTTTGCCGCCGCCCCGCCCGCCTCCCTTGCCGGCCTGGCTTTCCCCTCCCGCGGCCTCCGGGCCGCGCTGCTTTTTGACCCGGCCCGCCCCGCCTCTGTGCTCCGGGCCGGCCTGCACGTCCCCCGTGGAGCCGGGCAGGGCAGCGCCAAGGGAATCTAAATGGGGCGCGGGCTCGGCAACCCCACCAGCACCATAGCTGCCACTTCCGGGCAGTCTCCACTCAGAAACCAAACTGCCCCAAGCAGATCGGGTCAGAGGAGATCCCTGGGTCTGGGGTGCGGCTCCGTGGTAGAGCAGGTGCTTACCACGTGCAGAGCCCTGGGCTCCATCCCCAGAACCACATAAAAAATAAAAACAAGTCGGGCGTGGTGACGCACGTCTGTGATCACAGGACTCGGGAGGCTGAGACAGGAAGATTGCTGCAACTTGGAGGGCAGCCTGGGCTGTGTAGTGAGTTTAAAGCCCGCCTGCACTACATAGCGAGACCCTGACTCGAAACAATAAAGTTAACAGAGATTCCTCTTGTGCATTTAAAGGGCTCCTTTCTTCAAACTTCGTGGGCGCGGCAGTGCTGCAGGTGGGTTAGGGCCTGTGATGAACCGCCAGGGATTTTCCGAGGTCAGAGATGCGGAGTCGCGCGCAGGTGCCTGAAAGGTGGGGGTGAGTTGCGCCTCCCTGGGATATCTGCTCCGAAGGTTTGGCTCCGCGGACAACTGGCCGCCCTGGTGAGCTGTCCTCACAGGAAGCTGCCGCCGCGGTGCTCTCCTGGGTCCTCGTCCTGAGCACAGAGAAGGAACTGCAGGGCTCGGCTCCGCCCTTGGCGACCCCGAACGCTGTGCCAGCTGGGGCGGCTCCCTGGGCGTGGCAGCCTTGTGTGTGGGGCGACACCTCTCACACCCACAGGGGAGCAGCACACCCCCTCTCTTGGCTTCCGGGCAAAACTCGGTGGCGACGCCATCGTCCGGAACCCTGGGCGGGCTTTCCCGACAGCCGGTCCTGCAGCAGGGCTCAGAGAGCTGCAGTTAGAGTTCCGTCCCGAGGGCTTCCGGCCCGGTGCCATGGGGCCGCCCCACTTCCCTGGTGCAAGGAAAGTCACCATAGGAACTTGTTCTTTTGGAGATAGTCTCTCTGTGTAACGGGGGCTGACCTCAAATTTGCGGCGATCCTCCTGCCTCAGCCTCCCAAGTGCTGGGATGACAGGTATGCACCAGCATGCCCGGCTCAGGAGCCTGATTACCCACTTGGGTTGGGGGTGCCCATTGCCCCCTTCTGGGACCCGGTCATTTGGGGAGCAGCCCATAGCTCGAAGACAGGCCCTCCTTGAATGTGCTGGCTTGTTGTCCAGGAACTGACAGCTACGGATGGACAGCGGGGAGAGCAGGGGCCCACAGGGGGGGTGGGAAGGGGCCGCGCTGAACGCCCCCGCATCTCCTGACCCTGGTTGATTTTCCGTGGAGCTGCCACCGTCGGCAGGGGCACCGCGGGGAGGGGCTCCGCGTCCTCCCCAGCCCTGTCCGCGGCAGGCTCCCCTGGCGCCCGCCCACCCCCATCGGGAGCAGCCAGGAGCCCAGCTGAGAACCAGGACTCGCTTATCACCCAGGACATCCCGGATTAGGGGCCCCTAGGGACCTGGGGTCAAAGACCAAGAGGGAGAGCCGCAGCCATGCCCGGCCCCAGGATGGCCCCACACTGCGGGGGGTCCAGAGCCCTGTGGCAGGAAGGAATGCACAGGCCAAACCTCTATTTCTTTAACTCAGTAGCCCAGGCTGGCCTTGTGAGCTTGCAGCAATCCTCCTGCCTCAGCCTCCGGAGTGCTGGGATTGCGGGCATGGCCACTGCTCCAGGCCAAATCCCCCTCTCCCCGGACAAGGAATCGAACTGATGACCTCAGGGTTGCCAGGCAGGCGCTGTGCCACGGAGCTAAATCCCCAGCCCCTTTTGGTCTTTTTGAGACAGAGTCTGGATATGCAGCACAGGCTGATCTTGAGCTCACTTTGTATCCCAGGCTGGCCTCAGACTCGCAAGGATCCTCCTGCCTCAGCCTCCTGAGTGCTGGGATTACAGGCGTGCGCCACCACACCTGGCGTAAGGGCTAATATTTAAGAAGTAAATTTCACAGCAGCACAGCCAGCCTGAGGTTTAGAAGCCAAGAGGCATCTGTCGCCACACCATGGAGGCCTCTGGGTGGCAGAGAGACCCCTGCCTGGCAGTTTGAGGCCAGCCAACTGCAAGCCCAGGCACTCCCCTTCGGCAGCCCCCAGGACCCCCCTGCCCAGGGCAGCGTCCAGGGTCAAGCGGGAGCAGGGCCCATATCTTGGAGCTCCTGGCGGTGGCAGCTGTCCTCAGCTCCTGGGCCTGCATCTGCACGCCCTTCCCATGGCTTCTCCCATGTGTGTCCTTCCTGTGTCCCAGTCTCCCTTTTATAAGGACACAGCTGCAGGATCAAGGCCCACCCTAGTGACCCAATGTTTTAGTTGTTTGTTTGAGACAGAGACTCACTATGCAGTTCGGGCTGGCCTCGAACTCACAGTGATCCTCCTGCCTCAGCCTCCCAAGTGCTGGGGCTACAAGCGTGCCCCCTGCACCCTGCTGATGACCCCATTTTAAACAATTTCAAGAAAGTGCTGTGGGGCTTCAGGTTGGGACTCCGTGGCTCTCCTGGGGGAACACGGGCAGCACAGGGGTGTGAGGGACAGTGTTTGCCCAGATCTGCCCCGAGCACCTGCTGCCTGCTGCCAGGGAGGTGGGGATTTGAGCACCTGAGCCCCGGGCCGGTCACATGGGGTACCCCAGATGTGGCAGAGCAGCCACTGCGTGCCAGCTTTCTCCAGCGTCCTCTCAGGCCAGGGGAGGGCAAGGACACTGCTCCACCCTGTCCCCACCTGGGGCCCAGGATCAGGTGCTTCCCGACAGCGCGGAGGACGCTGGTCACAGGACGGTGCATACCCGGCTGGGCGCTGACGTCGCGTTCCCCAGCTCCGCCCATGGCCGGTGCTTTTCCAGCCCCACTCAGGAAGCACCTCCTGCAGGCCCCAGGCACCCCCCAGCACCTGGGTTTTCCTGAAAGGCCCAGGACGGGCAGGACCGGGCCCTGTGCATGCCTGCTCCCCTGCTTTTGGGGAGACAACGGCACAGCCAGACCCTGGCTCAAAACAAAGACAAAATGAAAGTCCAAAGCCAAAGGACAATTCCTTAAAAATGCCAACAACAGGTTACAGAGGCTTCCTCTCATGGGACGTTTCCAAAACGCGTGTGGGTCACAAAAATAAAGGCATGTGAAGCCGGGCGTGGTGGGCATGCCTGTAATCCCAGCACTGGGCAGGCTGAGGCAGGAGGATCGCTGTAAGTTCGGAACCAGCCTGGGCTACAAAGTGAGCTCTACACCGGCTTGAACTGCATAGCGAGACCCTGTCTCAAAAAGACAAAAAATAACAATACTAATAAAATTTTAAAAATAAAAATAAAGGCATGTGAAAGATGAGCTATGCCCTGGAGCCTCCCGTTCGTGGGAGGCTGAGGCCCTGGGTGATGACGTGCAGCCGAAGAACTGTTGGCCAAGATCAGTTGTGTTGCTGGCTTAGCGCCTCATTCCTTCTATAGGACTCGGAGGCCTTCCTGGCTCCGGGGACCCCAGTTTCCAGGGGTCGCCACGGCTCCGACACAGAGCAGGGGACAGTCGCAGAATTCGGGGTGTGGTGTGCTGTGGACACGCACTCCTCTTAAAGGACACGTGTTCCAGACGCCACGGTCCTGATGCCATTTGCTGTTTGTCCCTTAAAAGGAACTGGCCGCCTTGTGTATATATTTGCTCAAACTGGTGACCTCAGGCTGCTTGGTCCCTGCCGAGGGAGGCAGAGGCGGGCACGGGCCCCAGGGCACAGGTGGCAGTGCCCCTGGCCCTGGCACAGCCCCTGGGCAGCCCCTCCGCCGGCCACAGCACCCAGCCCTGCAGGGAACAGCCCGGCCGGCAGCGAGGGATCCGGAGCTCTGGAAGCAGCCAGTGTGGGGCCAAGGCCAGAGCCCAGGCTGAGGAACAGCGGCGGGGACTCCGCGAGGCCCAGCCTTCACCACCCGCCCCAGTGCCCCATCGTCCCACGGAGGCTGGCGAGGCTGCGGTGCCCAGAGCTGCTGGTGACTGGCTGCAGGCAAGGGAGCCTGGGAGAGTCCCCTGCCACCCACAGGAGGGCTGGGAGGAAGGGAGGGCGGGCAGGACGTCTCGCCTGATCTCTTGGACTGCTTCTAGACTCTCTCTTGGTGTTTTTCTTCTTTCTTTCTTTCTTCCTTTCTTTTTTCTTTCTTTTAAAGTACATATTTTTATTGAAAAGTTGTACCAATCTAGCAAATTATAATAACTCCACAGCTCTGTAACCATATTTTTTTTTTTTTTTTTTTTTTTTTTTGTCTTTTTGAGACAGGGTCTCTCTATGCAGTTTAACCTGGCCTTGAGCTCACTTTGTAGCCCAGGCTGGTCTCGAACTCACAACAATCCTCCTGCCTCAGCCTCCCGAGTGCTGGGATTACAGGCATGCGCCACCACCCCCGGCCCTCTGTAACCATTCTCATTCAAGGATGAGAAGAGACTTGCACACACGACTCACAGTTACAGTCACGAGCAGGGCAGTGCAGCTATCGATCCCCACACCAAGCCAGCACCACCTTAGAAACTACTGTGCATTTTAAATGCAGAGGACAGAATCCCAGTGAGCTCATAAGGCGTCTCCAGACATAGCGTAGAGCAGAGTATTTCAACAGTTTTATTAAATGCGTTCTTTGGGGCGTGACGTAGAAACAGTGGGGAGGAACCGTCTCTAGGTCACACATGGAGAAGAAAATTGAGCAAAAAATCACTTTGCCAAAAGCTTCCAGTGACCCAAAGTAAGACACATAAACACCTTTCTTTGCGGGGGAGGATCTTTTTGAGACAGGATCTTGCTGTGTAGCTGCGGCTACCCTTGAACTCGCAGCAATCCTCCTGCCTCAGCCTCCCGGGTGCAGGGATAACAGAAGTATGCCAACATGCTGGGCTATATAAACAACTAAGTACACTTCAAGAGCCTCAGATCTCATTAGCTGACTGTCACTGATGTTCGCACCATGCTGATTATGTCACTGATGCAAACGCTGCTATCTTTGGCCCTCCTGCAATGTTCTTATTTATAAGAAAACCTGCAGAAAGAACTCTGCTTACACCACAGCAAGATAGGAAGGAAAGAGGGTACCGTGGAATAATAAGGCTCTATCTTTCTTTCATCCTTCTTTTTTTGTCTTTTTGAGACACGGTTTTACTATGCAGTTCAGGCTGGCCTTGAACTCACTTTGTAGCCCACACTGGCCTACCAAACTCACAGCAAGCCTCCTGCCTCAGCCTCCCAAGTGCTGGAATTACAGGTGTGAGCCACCACTCCCGACTTTTTTTTTTTTTTCTTTCTTTCTTTCTTTCTTTCTTTCTTTCTTTCTTTCTTTCTTCCTTTCTTTCTTTCTTTCAACTGGGTCTTGCCATGTAGTTCAGGCTGGACTGAAACTTGAGGTGATCCTTCTGCTTCAGCCTTCCAGAGTGCTGGGATGCCACCACACCCAAACAAAACTGAGGCCCAGAGAGGCGGTGGACACCTCCTCCGGCACAGGGCCCTACAGCCCAGGCCCTGTGCCTGTCTCTGCCGCCCCAGGAGAGTTGGCTTCAGCTCGGGAGGAGCCCCCCCATCAGCCCTGCACCCCCCTCCTCCGCTTCCTCTCCCCAGCACCCCTGTGACTGGGTGTGGAGAGGAAGCAGCTGCCTCCAGCTGGGGCTCGGGCCTCCGGCATCCGTTCCGGTCTGGCCTCGTGGCGGCCCTCATGATGCCCGGACCCTGTGAGGGGCACCATGAGCAGGCGCTGGCCCTGCCCTCAGGGTTCCATCTCTCCTGGCCCAGAAGAGGGGGAGGAGCTTGGGGGTGGGGTGGGGAGGGGAGCCAGGAGGGAGGAGCTGCGACTTCCTGTCCCCTTCTCCCCGCACGGCGCACAGCGTCCAGCTGGGTGTGTGCAAGGCTGCAGGCCGTCGGCCAGAGCCCCGCACAAGGGAGCTTAAGGCCGTCATGGTGCCACACACTGTGATCCCAGCACTCGGAGGGGCACAGGCCGGAGGACCACAAGCCTGAACCAGCCTGGGCAGCTTAGTGATGGAGCCAGTTCGCTGCAGCCCAGGCTGGGTGTTGTCTGAGGTTCCTGGGACTCTGGGAGCTGCATGGAGAGCTGACCCTGCGCTGGCCACAGGGGCTCTCAGGGCCCCCGTGGGGACTGTCACGGTGAGGGGACACCTCTCCTTGGAGGGACTGTCTTCTCAGGGGCGTGCAGCTGGGTGGGCAGTGTGGAGGAAGCGCTGGCAGAGTGGCAGGGGGTCTGGCGGAGGACAGGCCAGAGGGCGAAGGCGGGACACCTGGTATCAGCCCCAGGAGCTGTGCCCAGCGGTGGTCTCACAGGACTGCGGGCAGTGAGCGTCTCTCAAGGCGCCTCCCCTCAGAGCCCACATCCAGCAGGCTGCCGGATGCCAGGCTGCCCCTGTGCAGACCCCTGGGACCCAGCCTGCAGCCCCCATGCACAGGGAGTGCTGCCCGCCTCTGCCTATAGCGGTGCCCTCCCACAATGGCCCTCAGCTGCAGGGAGCTGCCTGCTGTGCAGGATTTGGGTGGTGCCACGTTACCATGATAGAGGTGTGCGTCTGTGCTTCTCCGTTCTCTCAGAGTATACAGGTGCCCAGGAGCCCAGGGGCAAGTTACCCGTTCAGGACAGCTAGGACTGCCCCCCACTGTGCACCCACTGTGCATGCAGCCAGGTTCTGGGGCCCCTTCCCCACCGCCCCAGAGCTGCCGCCTGCGCCAGGGACTGGGCTCCGTTCACACGCCTCATCCACCCCGTCCATCTTTAAAAAAGGTAAAAGCCAGGAGTGGGGGTGCACACCTGTAATCCTAGCACTCAGGAGGCTGAGGCAGGAGAATCCCCGTGAGTGTAAGGCCAGCCTGGGCTGCATGGTGAGTTCAAGGCCAGTCTGGACTATATACCGGGACCCTGTTTCAAAAAAAAAAAGCACCCAAACTATAAAACAAACAAAATTGTGGTTAAGTACATATAACATAAAATTCATTATTTAACCATTTTAAAATGTGCAGCCCGGCGGCATCTAGTACGTTCACAATGTCATGTGCCTGTGACCACCTCCTAGGCCAGGGTCTTGTCACCGTCGCTGTCCCTGGAGTCCGTCGCCCGCCCCCACCGCTGCTCAGTGTCTGCTGCAGGGGAGCTTCCCATTCCCACGATTGCTCTGCGTGGCCTCGGACCGCACCCCGCGTGGCCTCCGCCCTGGGCGGAGGTGAGTTCTGCACACAGCGCCCGGGGGCTGCACACAGTCTCACGGGGCCAGCGCCCTGTGGGCCTGGGCAGCTGCACTCTGCTCAGCCCTTCTCTGGGCGGGCCGGCGGGCGCGCGGGGGCAGGACAACCCCCGACCCCCTCATCCCTGGCTCTTCCCCCGTGGGCAGGGACAGCAGACCCACGTGCCTGCCCCACCTGGTGAGCTCTCCAGATGGCATCTCAGCCGGGAAGACACCCAGACAGGGATTCGGTTCCCTGAGGACTCGGCCACGGGCTGGGGCAGCCGGCGGTGACAGATGGTGCTGCCTCTGTGTGTGCCAGCTTCGGCGCCCTAGTCCCAGTCAGACCAGCCCTTCTCCGGCCGAGGCCCCAGGTCTGGAAACCCATAGGCTGCCTTTACCCGCTCTGACCCTTCCCTGCTTCTCCCGGGGTTGGGACTCCGACCCCAGAGCCCCACCCCACGCCCTCTGGGGCTCTCGGCCGGCCTGTTCCGTGGCAGGAGCGGAAACCCAGAGCCGTCTTCCCTCAGCACACTCGCCTTCCTCCGCCGGCCGGGCGCCACGCCCTCGCTCCCCTCCTCGGCTGGCGGCTGGCGGAGGAAGGGGCCGGTTCATCTCCCCAGCAGGAAGCCCCGAGGAGCCCAGGAAGGAGCTGGGTTTCTATGTACACTGCTCTCCTGAAGGCGATGGAAGCCAAGCCTGCCGCCTGGATTGCTGTGAGCAAATAATTTTAGTCCTTAAGAACTGTAATCAGCATAAAGCGCAGCTGCCCCAAAGCTCAGAGTCCTTCCAGCACTTGCAATAACGCATCAGATTTGGCAGATTGTCAGCTGTAGCAACAAGAGCTAGTGTTTACCCTGCGCTTCCTAAGGGCCAGCGTGGTGCTGGGTGCTTTGCCGGGTAACTTCCCTTAAGCTTTACAACATAATGAGACGTAATCCCGAGAACTTCTCGCCAGGGAAGCAGTGTCACCGCAGGCAGGGACACTAGATTTGAGAGGCGAGGTGCGCTCCCACCTCCCTGGATCGTTTGGTCGGAGGCAAACTGAAATCAGCGTAAGTGTGGCCAGGGTCACGTGGTCGTCAGGTAGCGGAGACAGGATTTGAACCCAGGGAGATGCGATTCTGTCACCGCACAGGGACCCTGTGGCCCCGGAGTGATCCCCACTGCCACCACCCGTACTTACAATCCTCCTGCCTCAGCATCCCCGAGCGCTGGGACATGGTATGCGTCCCTGCACCCGGCCACATGTTGCTGAGTTTTAACCCTAGCTTGCTAAACTGTATGACTTTGGGAGGTTTCCGGGTGACTTTGTAAAGGGGGGACAGTAACCCTAACTCCTTCCTCCTAGGCTGTGTGTACAGGGTGGAACTCTCACCCTGTAAGGGGCAGGCAAGCGCGGCCAGCCCCAGAGAGGGCTGGGAGGAATCACAGCATGTGTGCAGTGCCGAGCAGGGGTGAAGCGCAGACCCCATTCAACACGGTCGATCCGGGCCGGGAGTATAGCTCAGCGGCACAAGCGCCTGCCTGGCAAGTGCAAGGTCCTGAGTTCGGGTCCTGAGCTGGAGTCCCGGTACAAAAAAAAAAAAAAAAAAAACCAGGGTCGCTCCAACTCCTGATTTGGATTTCCTGGGCTCCATCGGGAAAAGCCTTTCCCATGGCCTCTGGACTAAAATGCCCTGGCACTCCTGTGTCCTGGGACAGGAAGTGACCGAGACAGTCGTGCTGGGAGACGCTGTCCCTCCCATGTGCTCGGTCAACCCCCTCCCCCCGCCGCTGCTGTCCCGTCCTGCATGGGGTCAGGGGCTGACTCGGCCCTGCCTGTGAGTGGGGTCAGCTCGCCCCTTCCTGGGCATCGGGGCAGCGACACCTGGCCAGCCAGCTCCATCCCCTCCGCAGCCCAGGCAGGCCGGCTTCGGGGCTGTGGCAAAGTCCAGCCGCAGGGGGCCCGCTCCTGCCCGTGGTAACCCCGGCCCTTCGCCCGCTCACTTGGCCTCTGTCAAATCCGTGCCCAGCCCTGAGAGGGACCGGCAGGCTCTGGGAGAGAAACAAGGACGCCAGAGCCACGAACATGCTGGGCTGCTGGTGCCCGTCCCAGGGCTGCGGAGGGGCGGAGGTCTCGGCTCCACCGTGCGGGCCGCGGCCAGCTAGCTTTCCCAGCGGGCAGTGCAGGAGCCGCAGCTCCGGAGAAGGCAAGTCGCGGCACCCCAACAGGGCGAGGCCCACGAGCCGAGGCCAGCTGCAGGCGTGGATGGGTTTTTTTTGTTGTTGTTGTTTTTTTGGTTTTTTTTTTTGTCTTTTTGAGACAAGGTCTCTCTATGCAGTTCAGGCTGGCCTTGAGCTCACTTTATAGCCCAGACTGATCTCAAACTCACAATGATCCTCCTGCCTCAGCCTCCTGAGTGCTGGGATTACAGGCGTGCGCTAGGCATGGGTGTTTTGAGGAGCAGGATGGGGTCACAGATCGGTACGGGAAGGGTAACAGGGTCCCCGAGGGCCAGTTCAGAGGGCAGGGCCTGCAAGAGCCCATGCACGGCTGCCGGCCAGCATGGCACTCCTGGACCGCCCCAGACGCCTGGGCTGTGGGGACAGCAACCCCCGGGAACAGGCTCCCCGAAGGGGTCAGGCAGAGCCGTCCCAATCCTGCTGCCCGCAGGGAAGATGACTCACGCTCTGCCCTGTGAGCCCCGGGGAGGGCGGGGTGGCCTGCTGGGCTCTGCGGCTGGGGTGGGGGTGGGGGTTTGCTTCCGGGCGCCCCAACCTGGCTCCTAACCTATGGGGGCAGCATTCTCTGCCTCTCGGGGAAGCGAGGGCTGTGACGGCCTCTCCGGCCTGCAGGCTCAGGCTGTCCGCTGGGCCGTCCAGCCCTGGACACTCCTTCCATCCCTTTCAGCGTGCACTCCTCGGCCCACACCTCCCGCCCCATCGCGCTGTCTGCCCCGGGCCGGCATCACCGTCTCTCGGCGGAGCGTTGCCACCCGAGGCCTCGCGCTCCGCTCTGCATGCACCGACAGCTCCGGCTCCGAGAGCCGGGCACTCCTCCGAAGGCTTCTCGTGCCCGGCCCCGCCCCAGGCGCGGGACGGGAGCTGCGGGTGTTTCCGGCTGCTGCCCATCGCTTGTTTTTTAACGGGTAGAATTAATATTTGACTGTCGTTTGTAATCAGATGGCAGTTGGTGTAGTTTCTGTGTTTCATACTTTCAATTTTAAAAATGACAAGTTTTAAGCAGCTGCCGGTTGGGTGTGTTTTTTGGAAAGTGCAATTAGACCAGTTCATTAAGGGGGGGGCTTCCGGCTCTTCCTTATTAGCGCCAGAAAATCCACTCATCTTTTGACCCTTTCCTTTTTTTTTTTTTTTTTTTTTGGTTTTTTTTTCCGGTACCGGGAATCAAACTCATGACCTTGCACTTGCCAGGCAGGCGCTGTGCCGCTGAGCTAAATCCCCAGCCCTTTTGACCCTTTATTAAAAAAACACCCAGCAGATGGACATGCATTCAACGTCCCAGTGTGCAGCAGTTCCCAGTGTCACCCACGTCTACTCCAGGGGATGGCACTGGCACAGGGCCAGGCTGCGCGGGGAAGGGAGCTGTGCCCCGGCTGCAGTGTCACAGCAAGTCCCCAAGCCCGAGGCACTTGGCCGAAAACCATGTGCTGCGGGTCAGGAGGTATGGTCAAGCCTCTGAACACATCTGGGTAGCTTTTTTTTTTTTGATACTGGGAATTGAACTCAGGACCTTGCGCTTGCCAGGCAGGTGCTTGTGCCGCTGTGCTATATCCCTAGACCTGGGTAGCTTTTTAAGAAGCGTCTGGTTTAGCTGGGCATGGTGGCGCATGCCTGTAATCCCAGCACTTAGGAGGCTGAGGCAGGAGGATCACTGCGAGTTCAAGGCCAGCCTGAACTATCTAATAAGACACTCTCAGAAAACCAAAAAAAAAAAAAAGTGAAACATTAAAGCTTTCGAAGAAACACCGTCTTGAGACAGGAAAGCCTTTTCAAGCATGAAATCACTCAGAGCCCAGCTCTTATAATGCAATTGATTGGGGGCTGGGGATTTAGCTCAGCGGCAAAGCGCCTGCCTGGCAAGCACAAGGTCGTGAGTTCGGTTCCCGATACGGGAGAAAAACCAAAAAACCAAAAAAAAATAAATAATAAAGCAATTGATTGGGGCTGGGGATATAGCTCAGTGGCACAAGCGCCTGCCTCGCAAGCACAAGGTCATGAGTTCAATCCCCAGCACCGCAAAATAAATAAATAAATAAATAAAGCAATTGATTGACAAATGTGACCATGTGAAAGTTAAAGCTCCTAAAGGATAAAGGAAAAAGGGTGAAGACACACAAGCTGGGCAGGGTGGGTGCGAGCAGACGGGAGGACGTGTGCCAGGCCAGGCACACACTGCCGTAGGGGTGCAGAACTCTGACCCCACAACGAGGACAGGGCTGTTAGGAAAGCGACCAGGCCGCACCTGCGTGGACACTCAGGAGAGGGCCATGAGCGAAACCATGTCCTGCCTGCCCCATGGGGCACCAGCTCCCCTGAGGTGCGGCTCCCCCAGGCTTACGGCAGCCTGGCCCCTTCCCTCTGCACCCGGCTGGCACCGTTTGGGCCTCAACCCCTGTGGCTGAGGTCCGGAGTGCCCAGCGTGAGCGCCTCCGCAGTGCCAGTGTCTGCCCAGCTCTGCTCTGAGCTCCACAGGCAGGAGAAGGGCGCAGTCGTCAGGCCCCTCAGTGTGGGCAGCTGCCGGCGAGAGTGCAGTCTCAACTCTCCCGGGGACCTCCCGGGAAGGCGCTGTGGGCCAGGCCACGGCTGGCCCTGCTGGTCTGCAGCCAGGCCTGGGGGAGCCTTGAGGACCCAGGCCGGGGCAGAGGCGCTGCAGCGGGGGAGGCGGAGGGGCCTCCGGGCAGATGAACTCATGGGCGGCCCCTGCCCTGGCCCCTGCCCTGGGCGCTGACCGGGCCTGCTGTTTCGGGCTGCACCGTGACTCAACCAGCCGTCTCCTGAGTCATGCTCCTTGGAGGCAGGACTGCGCTCTGCCATCTGCCCAGAGCCCGTGCTCCGCCTGGCACTGGGGACACCCAGCGCTTCCAGTGGCCAGCCTGTCCCATCTGCCTGCCAGTCCCCGGGACCCTGTGCCGTGTTACTCAGATCCCAGGGGCGGCTACCCGCTGGCGGGGGCAGTGACCTACCGGATCTCCACTGTCTCCTCATGCCTTCTGCCCTGTGCCCCAAAAATGCCTTTGTCCTCTCTGGCCAAGTTGCCCTTCTCAGTGCTCTGCCGCTGAGCCCTGAGCTGACCAGCACCCCCCAGCCTGGCCGGGCACCTCCTGCTCGGCCTGCGGCCCTTGAGGCAACTGAACTGCTTGCCTGTCCCGCCCTTAGCCAGCCTGGTCACCCAAAGAGGGCCAGAGCGGCCCCTGTGACTCCACTGGTGCCAGGCTGCTGTCACCAAGGCCCCACCCGGGGGCTCTCGGGTCGCCAGGGGACAGGGAGATCCAGTCTGAGCGACAGTCCCTGTGGAGCAGCTGTCCCTGTCCCTAGCATCCTCCTGTGGTGGCCAGCGCTGAGGCAGAGGCCCGGGCCCAGGGCTGAGGGAGCAGCTGGCCCTGCTCCCCGGAGCAGCTGGTGCTCAGCTGCGAGCTGCAGCCCCTCCGCTTGTCCCTGTGTGCTGGGCTGCTCCGGGGCCCATTTTCCCTGGAGGAGGACACGGTCACATCGGCCCCACCCCAAGGCCTCTGTACTGCACTGTCTGCATGGACTCCAGTTCCAAACCAAGTCCTGCTCGTGGGCAGTGGGAGTCGCTGGAGGTCACGGGTCCTGGGAGGGTCACCAGTCTTAGAGGTCACACAGGTCCCGGGGTCAGGACCCTACAAGGTCCTGGTGAGCACCATCAAGCTGTCTTATGTATGCCCCCCACTTCTCTCTTTTTTTGTTTTTTGTGTTTTGTTTGAGACAGGGTCTCACTGTGTACCCCAGTCCGGCCTTGAGCTCAGGGCTCAGCCTCCCGAGTGCTGGGATTACAGGCGTGCAAAGACACACCCAGCCCACCTCCCCCTTGTCCTGTCGCTGCCTGGTGTGCTGCGGTCCCAACCCCCGGGGGGTGACCCGTGTGGGGCCCGCCCGGGCTGCCTGTTGGCTCGAAACTCCCTCCTTCCTCCCCCAGCTGAGCGCTGAACCCCATCGGGAATGCGCAGAGCCACCTCCTCCGGGCAGAGCTTTCCCAGCTACACGCCCCGCACTGCCCGCCCCAAACTCCTGGCCACCCTGGGTCCAGAGGCTTCTGTGAGTGTCTGTCACGGTCTGCCTAGCTGGCGTCACTCAGCACAGCCGGCATGTGCGGGCGGTTCTGCACTCAGGTGCCCTGCTGGTGCTGGACACCCACAGCCCAAGCTCAGCCCGGACCCACTGCACCCTCAAGGGAGCACCTGCTGGGCGCCAGACCCCCTTCCTTCTCTGGCAGCGACCCCACTGTGCAGCCCGGCACCGGCTGAGCTGTCCCGCTGCGCATCTTCAAATGGGGTGTGGACAGCAGCACCCCATGGACCACGGAGTGTCCACAGGTGGGCGTGGGAGCCACGGCGGGAGCCGGTACACAGCAGGACCACGCCCTGGCAGCTGGGCCGCAGAAGCAAGGGTGTCGGGGGTGCTAGAAGACACAAGGGGGGAAGGCAAGACCCGGCCCCTGCTCAGGCGGGCTCCCTCCTCCTCTCCCCAGCGGCTTGCTGTCCCTAGTCCCACTGCTGTTTATTAAAACCCTCCATGTGGGCCCAAGCCCGTGGGGCCCTGCTCATCCTGGCCTGGGAGCGAGTGAGCCAGCAAAATTCCGGACAAGCCTGGGCTGGAGAGACCCGGCTGAGGCCTCTGCGGAGTGGCACAGGCCCTGAGGCCTGTGGAGAAAACAGGCCAGGTGTCATCGGCGTCACCTGACGGGGCCGTCCCTGGCCAGCTCTCCCTGTGCCCTGCGAGTATCCAGCAGCTGCGAGAGGGCCCCTCTGCCGGGCCCAACCCCTTCCACTTGGCCCTCCCCGGGTTACCTGGCGGCCATCCCAGACGGAGCCCTGGTTTCCCAGCCGCCCTGCTCCTCCGGGACGGTGAGTCAGAGTCCCCGGGGACGTGCAAGCAGCAATTACCCTGTGTCATGCCCAGCGCCAGCCACGAGGTCTCGCCCCAGAGCCCAGCTGGTTCCCAGCCGCAGCCCCGGCAGGACAGAACACGCCGCGCAGGCCCCGGGCCAAGCCATCAGGGCGCGTGCTTCCTCGCTGGCCCAGCCTGGCTCAGCCGGGCGCTCTGCCCCTGTGGCTGCTGGCGTCTGCGCAGCAGGGCTGCTCCAAAGCCGAGAGGGACACAGCCTCCAACTCATCCTGACCTCAGTCCCCTCTCTTCCCCACCCTGCACAACAGCGGAGCGTGCGCCCTGCCCCGTGAGGACCACGGTGACGAGCAGCGGTGGCCCGGGTGCCCTGGTGGCTGGAAGGAGCACTGGGCTTCCGCGTCGGTTCTGCGGCCCCTTGGTGTGCCCTGTGTGGGCACAAGGACGCCTGCCCCGTGAGCCCCGCCCTCTCCTGATGCAGAGGCCCCGGGCAGGCGGCGCACAGCTGCTCTCACCCTTGGAGGCGACACCCCAGCGGCCCAGGACCGGCAGCGGGAGAGGGCGGCGCAGGCCACAGCTGGGCCTCAGTGCCCGCTCCCCCTCCTTCCCAGAGCCGGGCAGGTCGCTCGCTCTCCTCTCCGCCTGGCCCCCGCGGTGACAAGCCAGGAACCCGCTCGCTCCGGCCCACCCCCCGCCCACCTCCACCCACCCCGGCCTCTCAGTCCAGTCCGGGTCAAGGTGTCAGGCGCCCAGGGACCGTCGAGTCGAGTCTCAGGCCCAGGGCAGGGTGTCTCAGTGGAGAGGGCTGCCAGGTCCCAGGGACCCCGACCTGTCAGGGCTCCAGCTCTGGGGACCTCAGCTCCGGGCCTCCCTCCACTCAGGCGAGCTGAGCTGAGCCCATTTCCATTCTCACGGCCCCCCGCCTCGCCCCTACCACATCCAGGTTACCGCTGCATTTTGTCTTTCTTTCTGCGCCTGAGCTTATTTCTCTCTGGCTTAGGCCCTGCTGAGATGGGAGGGTGCAGGGCGATGGAGGCGAGCGGAGAAAACCCGACCGAGAGATGCCTCAAGATGCCCTGGATGCAGACCGTGCCCATAAAGCCGTGTAGGCTGCTAACCCTTCTGCAGAGCCTGCTGCCTCTTTATTCCAGGACTGGAATGCAGACACCGCACCCGCCGCCCGGGGAGGGCTCGAGCTCGAGCTCGGGACAGAGGCGGTGCTGCTGGGGTGGATCCCTGGCAAAACTCCCCCAAGGACAGC